GCCGCGCTCGTCCCTGCCTTGCTCTTGTCTGCTTCCACCGAAAAGGAAGAAGAAGCCAGGAAAGGGGGGAATGATCAAACTTTTGGAGGCGGGCTGCTGGCGGTCCTCGGAGGCTGAGCAAGGCCGGGCGAGGGCGCGCGGAGGGCGCTGGAAGCCGACTCCCCGCCGGCCTGGGGGAGGAGAGGAAAAGGAAGGATTTGGGGGAAATGAAGGCGATTTAAAGTCTCGGCCCGCGGCGGCTCTCCACCTTCCCTCCTCCCCTCTCTGGGCCGCCCTCTGCTGCCCCCTTCCGGCTGCAGCCGGGGACACAGCCTCCGCCGACCCACGACTGCCCAGCTGGACACAAACCACTCCCTGGCTCTGGGAAAGAGAGGGAAACTGAGATTCACAGAGAGGAAGCTGGCCAGGCTGCACGTCAGGCTGACCGTAGTTCTGAGGTTCGAGAGCGTCTGGCTTGTGAGGCTGGGGGTCCCGGGTTGGGGAGGTCGGGGCAGTAGGAGGAAGGGGACTCCAGAGAGGATCCCGGGAGTTGTAGGGACAGAACTGCAGCCAGTTCTTGATATCCGGACTCCAAAAACAGCCAGGGTCCTGTCCGGGGCCCCGCCCCATCCTCGTCCCACGGGTGCCGCGCGCAGATCCAGAGCGCCCCGAGAAAAGACTTTCCTGGACACATGGCGGGGAGGGCTTGTTAAAGGTTGGTCACCCGCCTCTTCCCGCTCTTTTCAGTAAGAAATGGGAGTCTCACAGCTGCCGAACCACGAAAACTCAGCCAAAGACACTCTCGGATCCTATCGGAGAGAACTACACACCTCGCCCCACCACAAACACCTGGGCAAATTCTTACACCCACAACCCTGGTCGAAGCCCTGACGCTAGAGCCTCTCCACCTCCACCTCACAGGCAGACAGCCTCACACACACTTACTGGTGTACACACCCATTCCCACATACATCCGCAGCTGCTCCGAAGTCAGACACATTCACGTGTCTACATGTGTGTAGGCACAGCCCACCTTCCTGGGCTCAGACGAAACATACTTTCCGCTGTCTCGGCTCAGGAGCACGCTCGGACTCTACACAAACAGACGCAAGCACACGAGGGCTTACACACACACACAAATGCACACTAGCCTGATCAGATCCCCTACGTACACACCCTTGCTCGCACCGCGCGCGCGCACACACACTCAAGTGCACACACCCCGTGTACACCTCTAGTGCCCATTGCCTTCCGCAAGTGCCCACCACTTGAGAAAACACACACACACTCACTCCCCGCGCGTGCAGCCCTGTCCCATGAGCACACACCATCTTTGTGCACACACCTTTGCGCATAAACCCCAGTATCCCCAGCGCTCCTGGGAGCCTCCGGTCACTTACTGGGTCCCGAGGTGCGAGGCTGGCCGGTCCGTCCTTCCTCGGGCGCCTAACGGCATTTGTATTCATGGGTCCCCGCAGCCCCGGACACGGGCGCGGGGGCGGGGGTGCGGAGTCCCCTTCCCTAAATGAGGCGTGGGCGCGGGCGCGCGGAGCGCAGCGGCGCCGGGAGGGGCATGGGCGCGCGGGGCTGTGCCGCCGGCCGGGTCCTCCTGCGCTGGAACTGCGGCCGCTCTGCGTCCTCCGGCTCCCGCGTGGGCTCCGGGCACACCGGGTGGCTCATAGGTGCAGCGGCCGCGGCGCCCGAGGGGCCTTTTGAAGTCTCCGCTGGGGGCGGGGAGGGGGCGCTGAAGGCGGCCTTTTAAACCAAGGCTGCACGCGGGCTCGGCCGAGCAAGGTGTCTGGTTTCAGCAAACTTTAGGAAAAGTCCCAAGCCAGAGAGGGGGGCGGTAGCGGAAAAAAAAAAAAAAAAAAGGAGAAGAAGAAAGAAAGAAAAAGAAGCCACAGAGCTGTGCGCTGCTTCCTGCAGGGGGCAGAGCATCCTTGGCTGCCAGGAGGGAGGCCCCGCGTGGTGCCCAGGCACCCGCAGAGCCCCCCACCCCGCACGCCCACGTTGAACCTGGGTTCTTAACCTCCACGTGGACGAGCCCCCAGGGAGTGCAGGAACACCCAAAACTGCGTACAGATTGTACGTGTTCCTACTTTCTTCTCCGGATAGGAGCCACTGTGTTCCACAGGTTCTCAGAAGTCAATCGCTGCGAAGGTTCACCTGCGGTCTAATCGTAGTTGATTTGTATTGAGAGGCCTGTTTTGTGACGGCCAGACCCTGTCTTTATTTAAATTTTTGATATTTTGTTCATTGCGGACTTTACATTAACGTTTTTTTTAATATTGCATTAAAATATTATGTATCTTGATTAGCGAGGAAGGTTTTTGTTTTGTTTTTTGGTGTTCCATACCATTTTAGATGCTCACGAACCTCACTGTAGCCAGAACTGTTTAAACACCACGGTTTGGGGGAGGAGCACTATTACCCTCATGTACAGATGAGGAAGCTGAGCTTCTGAAAGACTGAGTAACTTTCCTGAGATCACTAAGTTCCTAAGTATGGAAGTGGGATTTGAACCCAGGTAACGTGACTCCAGTTTTCTGCATCTGGGCATGATGATCCATCCAACTCTTAGCCTTGAAGGGCTTTTGAGCAGATCCTTGCCAACTGCCCCAGCTTCATGGGGGCTCCAGTCTCCCTGATGCTTGGACCTAGGCTCTGGACAAAAAGGCTACTTCCAGGCCTCTGTTCATACTCTTTCCTCCCAGGTCTCTCCTCTTTCTCGTTTCTGCCTGTTGACAGCCTCTCTGTCCTTCTAGGTGCAGCTCACAGCTCATTGGACTCTGCTTAGCTAATCTGCTCTGCATTCATATTGTACCACACATCACACAGTATGGTCATTGTCAAATCCATCTCTGTGCCCTCACACGCAGCATGGAGCCTGGAACACAAGAAATGCACAAGCCATTGGCAATTTAAATAAACGTGTTTACTTACCTCCTACAGAGTACACATCCCTGTAAAAGCTCTGAGGGAAGTGAGTCTATCACTACAGGGGTGGGGACATGTTTGACATGTGGACAGAAGACGCACACGCTAACACGGGTTAGGAAAGAAAGCTGGCATGGGAGATCTGAGACACCCACTACATAATGGAGAACCCCTTGTATTCTTATAATGATAGTACAAAGAGAATATGGTAGATATTACCAAAGAGGTACAGATCAGTTGGATTGTCAACCAGGAGAGAGACCAGGGAAGGCTCCCAGGAGGAGGGGACATTTGAATCTTGAAGGGTGTGTTGGATTTACATATGCAGTGGTGGGAGAAAGATTTCTGAAGTACAGGAGTCACAAAAGGCCAGGAGGGTGGGCATGGATTTCAGGCAAACTTTTAAAGGAATGAGGGAAGCCCAGTAGAGAAGCCACCCAATTCTTCCCACCACACCACGTGGGTGTCACCATGCAACTCACTGGCCACAAAGCCATTTCTAGACAATGGAATGCATTTCCTCAAAGGTCAGGCAGCAGGTCAATGGCTGAGCACCAAGACCTTTTCAAATATCACCCACAAATCTGAATATTCAGTGGTTAGCCCTGCTCCACTGTGAGCAGTCCAAAAGACCCCTGGAAAATCCCTTGAGGGCCCATGAAGATTGAGGGCAACCCCTCCCAGGACATCTCCCCATCTATGAGAGGGATGCATCGGACTTGATCATCTTTATGGGACATTGGAACTTGGCTAACTATGAGTTTGTTATTCAACAACAAATCCAATTTAATATAATTTTTGAAGGTCGACTGCACTTTGTTAGATTCCAGAGGGAAGTGAGGCACATGGCCTTAAGTGCATAGTCTAGTGGAGGAGGCCAGCTAGGAGACAGAAAGCTAACGCAAGTCAGGAAGTCTTACCTCAAATCACACTCGTTTAGTGGGCACTGCAGAACTGGGAGGGGAGCTCAGGTCCTGTGTTCTAGTCTCCCAATCTTCCCAATGTCTTGCACTGTTGGGCACACTAGGATGGGTCTTTCTTTAATTTGGGGGCCCTACACAGCACAAGGGAGCTCTGGTGGCGTAGTGCCTAAGGCATTTGACTGCTAACCAGAAGGCTGGCGGTTCAAATCCACCAGCCACTCCTCAGAAGGAAGGTTGGG